TATAGTTGTACCTCTTTTTTATCACCTTCCTCCTCACTCTGCTTCATTCGGCGGGTAGCTCTCGAGACCACTTCTCACGCCACATGTTCTTCGCCCAGTTCCTCCCTCCCAATCCACACCGCCAAAGCACATTCGCAGCACATACTCCCAACCTAAACGCTTTCAATCCTACTCTTGCAACACCCCACTTTCAACTTCCTCATTCCCTAACTTCCACCACGAAACCACACGAAAACCCCCACTTCCACTCTCAACCCCCCACTCCCAACCCCGACTCTCATGCCTTCCCACAGTTTTTCATTTTCTCTTTCTCTTCACACCATCAATTTACCCACTCAACTCCCAAATCCGTACTAGCGTAGCTCCTCTTATCCCGCATCACTCCTGTTCGCCCGTACTCCTATCCTCCATTGCCCGCATCCCACCCGAACCTTACTATCACCTTCATTTGTTCTGGGCATGTATCATTCCTCTCCTGTCTTCCTATACACCTTATCCTCGTCTGTCGTCAATTAATCCATCATATTCTCTTATTCGCTTTTCGCCATCAGCGCAGACCCAATCTCTTTCTGTCACTTCCCTCTGCCCTCTTTTGACCCCACATCCTTCTGCTTGCAATACCCCTACGGCGAGTAACAATTCTTCAGTCAAGCATCCCGCGTCCACCTGCCACTGCGCTTTCAGATCCTTCGCCACGTACCCGCGCGTGCGTGCCTGTCCGCCCGGCCGCCAGCTGACGCGCGCCTAGCCGCGACCCGTGCAAGCACCGAGGCAAGGCCCCTCGTTGCCGCGCTGCGTGACACGGCGGCAGGGCGTGGGACGGAAGCTCCACTCCCGACCTCAATCACCGCTCTCTCCTTTGCCGAACGCACACTGGCGGATGCAGGGGGGGGCATGACAAACATGGGACCTCTCCCAAAGGCCTAGATTTTTTGTTTATCGTCCCTTATTTGGCAAACTTGATTTACATATTTATTTATGTTCGAATTGTGTAATTATTTGAACAATATTGTTGTATAGTATGTAAAGTATATAAACAATAATAACAAATATGATTATTATTTAACCAATATCTACGATCCCTGTGTAGTTGCACACAGTTAACTGTGAGGTATTATGACACCTGTCTCCGTGCGCCGTATCGTTTTCTGTTGAAGCACTTTATGAAAAGAAGTATCTTTCCTTCACACTCAACGGAAGCTTTTGTTTTCACAGGCTTACACAAGCGGCGTAAGCTCACCGTTGAATTTCACGATGTTGGAACAACTGAATATTTTCCTATGTGGGTTCAACATTTGTGTCCAACATTGATTGTTGTCATGCTTTTTGTTGTGATTGTTCAATATCGCGTATTGCGATTCAATTTACTTCCCTTTGCAAACTTTAATTTCCTAGCGTACTTGAGAATCCTTTCAGTATTATAACTGACTCTACAGAGAAATAAACTTAACACTCGTAACTTACCACTCGTGTTTCATTAGAATTTTTCCCTTGACTTGCCAGTCCTTCACAAATAATCTTAACAACCTACCTATTTGCTAACCAATGTAAAACAAGAGAATCCCAAATAAACAAATTTGATATACTTTCAAATTATTATTATTATTATTATTATTATTATTATTATTATTATTATTATTAGAAACATTTTTAAACAAAATTTGCCATTTTATTCTACTCCTTCAATGTCTTACTATTCTGTAAATACACGCATATGTGTCCTCCTCCCCCCCTCTACAAACAATGACACGACTATAAAACGACACAAAACGTTACGTAAAATATCCACGAACGTCAATGCATCCGAAGAGAAATACACGTTCCACGACTCGCTGCTTCCACTAATTTAATGCGCCCTTGTTCTCAATACAACGTTCCCACACTTTCCATCTACCCTCATCTAATTTCTTTCGAGGAGAATTCTAGCGGTTGGCTGCTCTCATCGGTAGTTTTCCGTCCTTTCTCTTATCAATACCATGTGAAATGCAATATTGCTATATCTACCCAAAGGCATTCGGCCCTGAGGAAGGTTGCTGCTCGACGGCCGAAGCATTGGCGTCTGCGCATAGGACGCATTTCTGTGTCTCCCTGACAGTAGAACTCCGACCGCGGCACGGGGAGAGATGGCTCAGGCTGATGTCACTGCAGTGCATCTGACCTGGAGGTCCTTTGGCTCCACACCCTACTCTGGCAGGAGTGTCTCTAGCTTGTCGAATTCAGTCGCTGTCTGGAGGAGAATTCTAGATGCCAGTTGTTCTGATCCGTGGTTTTCGGTGATTTCGTGGATCAACACCAGGCCAATGCCGGATCAAGACTAAGAAACGGACCAAGGACCGCGTGCAATTTTTTCTTCTTCTTCCTTGTCTTATCCTCACCTCATACACACACACATACACTATCATGCACTACACTACCGCTCATGCCGGGAGTCTGTCCCAGCCGGGACGGTGCCCTGCCGATGGGAGATACCTGGTTGGGAGAAACCCCGCTAGCCGACGTTAGGTGGGCGCCGGATCTCGCCATCCAGCGGAGAAAGGTCACCTCCACCGCCCGAGGAAAAACATGCACTACAATTAAGGGTCTAATAACACCAGAAGTTGACGCGCCCGGAATCACTAACAACCAGCCTACCGCGGAAGCGTACGCTTTCACCTCGTCGTCTTGCTTCCCCCATCTTCCCCCATCCCAGTCACAGCCCTTGCTTCCCATCATTTCTTTCCTACCGCAAACAGCCACATTCCGCGCGGCGCGGTGCGGGAGCGCATGCGCGCGGGATCAGCCTAAGCCCTTCGTCGTCCTCTCCCGCGCCTGTCGCTCTCGCCGCCCGTTCCCCGTTGCGCGCCAGCCTCAACCCGCGGACAGGACAATGGGGGCGTCGCGGCCAGACGCTCCGCAGAACGAGCGTGGGAGTGGCCACGTCGCCGACCACCGCTGCTTTTGGACTTCTGTCTGGCCCTTATGTACTATGTGCTATTGTACAATCCTTTCACTACATGCAATTCTATTATTGATATTGAAATAGCATATACTCGTTGACGAAAAAAGTACTCCGTCGCTTCAAAATTATCCTCATCTCAACAACCAGCTCAGCTGATGGAAATCGTTTCAGCATGAATTTCTTCGTAATGACGGTGCAATTTCTTTACGTGGAAAGGTAGATAAATGATGATTGAGACAGTGTAATCTTGTCAATCTGTTCATGCAGCTTGTATTTTCGCTCATTTTTTATTAAACTATCTGCTTATTTATAATTGATTCTACAAGTCTCCAAAGCACAGTGTCCTCCAGCGTCTGTAATATCTGCCACCCTTGACCACCACCTCTTTCCGGGGAGCGCAATCTGCGCCACCAACAATGCCTCTGCTTGCGCCACGGTGGCCGCTTTCGTTGCTGGCTATCCGTTCCGGGTTCCTCCCTATCTGCTGCCTCGCCCCCAAACTCACCTCCCACCCTTCATCTCTCCCCAGGCCGCCTCCCGTTTCGGGCTGCCTGCCACACTAAGCAACGCGCGCTCTTCTCTGCATGACTCCCACTCCACAACGCCCCTACCCACCACTCCAGCCATCATCCGCCCCACCCGCCCGCGCTGCCCGCCCCCACCTACTTCCACCGTCTGTCCCCCGCTCGCCCGACCTGCTCTACCCGCCTTACATTCCTATATCCTCCCACACCCACTCGCACCCGCCCTCCACCCGCCCTCCCAACCCCCCCTTACCCACCACACCCGCCATCATCCGCCCCTGCCCGCCACCCACCCACCTCCACCCGACTCTGTGTTGCCCTCTACTCTGCTCGCTTCCCGCCTCTACACGCCTTCCCCTCCCACCACCCGCCCCCCGATCCGCCTTCCCACCCGCCCCTACCCATACACCCGCCCCTACCCACCACACTCCGCTTCCCTATCCACCCAAACCGCGCCATTCATCCGCCCCTGCCCCACCCCCACCACTTCTACCCGACTCTGTCCGCCCTACCTGCTCCCGGCACCCGCCCGCCTTTCCATCTCCCTGCCCATAACCAGTCCATTCCTCGGCCCAGCGCCTGCCAGGGCCGCCGTATGTTCTTCGGGCGGCCGCCTTCGTGGTGGGGAAAGCGCGCGCCGCGGGCGCGGTGCAGTGCGGAGGCGCGCCTTTTCTTTCGTGGTCAGGTTGCGGTTAATCCGAGCAGCGCAGCGGGCGCGCGGCGGGCGAGCGGTACGAAAGGGAAGTGGCGAGGCGGGGGGTGTGTGAGCTTCAGCCCGCACAGAAACGCGCCGGCGAGATGCATGCGGGCCCTAGAGCTCACCTCAATTTGAGCCAATCGCACACTTCTGGGATCTACGTAAGTCGCGTGGAATTATCTAAAACGACTGAGAGGAGATATACGAATCAAGGACGAGAGAATTGCAAAACAGTTATAACGATTGACTACAGGAAGAGTTAGTATTCTATTATCAAGTAATAATTGATCGAGGAAAAGGTATTTATACCGTACTCCTCTTCAAGCAGTTCCAGCAGAGAAGAAAGTCTCAAGATAAACCTGTCTCCGAAGCGAAACATTTTAGCAATGGAACAAAAAGGTGTGTTTATTTTACTTTCTCGGTTACGTATACGTATACTGTAAATAATATACGTGGTATGTAGGGAAGTATGTAATGTTGCAGGAAAATAGAATTTCGTATTTCAAACGGAAAATACAGTCATTGAAGTAAACATTTAAAGCAGTTGTTGAGAAAAGTGACGTTGGATCCTTCTCCAAAATGCCGAATTTTGAGCTCATTTTTCACCAATCTGTTGAGTTTAATAGAGCATTGGAGTACATTTTAAAGACATGATTGTGAGACTTGCTTCAGCAAAATTAATAATGAAAAAAATTCCGCTACTGTAATATGAAACGAGCATGAGAGACAAGTCAAAAACAATGCACTTTGTAAATTTTGAAAAAAAACAGCAGAATACAGAAAAATTGCGTTGAAGTGTCTGATTGAAAGCAATTAGTACTATCCATTCCAAAAGTTGAAAGAAAAACATGAGTTATTTTGTTGTTTGTCTATGCTGTTACTTTTTAATATTCCACATATTTCACGCATTATTGCGCCAGAAAGTAAAATTTCAAGAGAAATGTATGATGATAAATGAATAAAACTAATTATGATAACAACTTTTATTTGAAAAAAAAATCTCTATCTCCAATTTTTTAATTTTAGAAAGTCGCCGAAATAATTTCAAATTATTGAAATTTCACAAATCAGAATTGAAATAAACACATCAGTAAACATTCCTGGACCTATGCCCGGCACGTTTTTAAAAGTTAGTTTACTCCTATTTTTTACTGATACAGAATTTTTTAATGTGGACGGTTTTTTTTTTTTCCGTTTTAAAAAATTCTCAAAATTTATTTGCCCAGCAGCATTACAATATACATTTCTCGCTAGTAATTACTCCGTCGAATACCCAAGAAAGTAAACAAGAAGTTAAAATACCCATATTCTGTTCTTACACAAAATCCATTGCATGCTACTACAGTTCAATAAAATATAGAAAAGAAAATATACATACTACATGTTTTACTACAGTTTCTACTTACTACTACACTACGTATGGCAAAATCGAATGTTCAATATGCCTTAGCTTATGAAGTGCATTTTATGCATTATTTAGAAAAAATCTTTGTGTTATTGACGTTTGAATAAGAGAAACAATGCATTCCTGCTCTGTAAAAAAATTAATTCTAAGAAGATAAGCAAACCACACGACATTCTGACAGTTACACATCAAAAATTACCTTTTTAAAATATACTGAAGCTAAAATAGTTCAAATATTACTCAATAATGAAAATTCTGTGACAAGATCAATGAGCAGAGCCAGCCATCAGACTAAAATCCTTTACGCATTGTGAAGTCCCCATTGAAAAGCGCATGACTTAGCGTAAAAGAACTTTCTTTCCCTTGTGCCACTATGTGGTCAAAAGTATCCTGACAAGAATGGCTGAAAAATGACTCTAGCAGTCGTGCGCCCCTCCATCGATAATGCTGGAAATATAAAAGGTGTTGGCTCACTCTTAGCCTTGATGACAGCTTTCCACTCTCGCAGGCATACTTTCAATCAGGTCCTGGAAGGTTTCTTGGGGAATGGCAGCCCATCCTTCACGCAGTGCTGCTCTGAGGAGACGTATGGATGTGATTCGGTGAGGCCTATCACAAAGTTATATCGCAACGGTCAGGCCTATCACCTTTCCAAAACATCCCAAAGATGTTCGATAGGATTCAAGTCAGAACTCTGTGCAGGCCAGTCCCTTACAGTGATGTTATTGTTGTGTAACCACTCCGCCAAAGGCCGTACAGTATGAACAGGTGCTCGATCGTGTTGAAAGATGCAATCGTCATCCCCGAATTGCTCTTTAACAGTGGGAAACAAGAAGGTGTTTAAAACATCAACGTAGGCCTGTGTCGTGAAAGTCTCACACAAAACAACAAGGGAGCAAGCCACCCCCCATGAAAAAGATGACCACACCATAACACCATATTGGACGTGTCCGGGTACTTTTGATCCTACAGTGTATGTCTCTAAACAACAGTGTGTGTGGTTGGATCAAAATTACGCAATTTTGGAAGCCATTTCTGAGAAAATAGAAAACGTCGATAGACATCCTATAGTTATCGCTGGTGATTTAAATATTCCAAACTCAAATTGGAAAGTCGCTGTGAGCGAAGCGAAAGTACAGTAGTTAGTGAACAGACTTGTCTGGGAAGGGGGATTAGCGCAGATAGTAGATAAACCGACGTGGCAGGAGGCGCTTCTGGATGTATGTCTAATGACGCCTCAAGAGTTGTTCTTATCTTGAGATATCATTGAGGGCATAAGCTACCACAAAGCGGTGTTAGTTGACTTAGACATAAATATCTCACAGAAAAGAATTCATAACCGAACAAAAATATGGCAGTACAAGAAGGCAAATGGAGATGGGTTCACCACTACCTGAAAGTACGATAGTTCTCTGAGTAGAGACGGGGTCATGGAGAATATTTGAAACGCGTTTAAGAGTATTCTAGATAATGCGTTGCAAACGTATGTGGCGGGCTAACACTTAAAAAGTAATTCAGATCTTGATTATTACAATGCGAAAATTCGAGATTTGAAGAGAAAAAACATAAAGGCTAACTAGGCATCGTAGTGAAAATTGAAGAATGCATTTTCGAAATTTTTCAAAATAATTAGAGCTAGAAAAGAAAATTGTACAGAATAAATTTTTGAAGAATATTCTCGACAGGCAGAAAAACAATTTGTCGGGGTTTTGGAAATATGTTTGCAGAAGAGGAAATAAAGGAGAAATTCCTATCGTTAGAGTTACCAAAAACATATTGCTAATAGATCATCGGGAAAAAACAAACGCATTTAATGTCTACTTCAGTTCCTTTTTTAAAACAAAATCTGACCAAACTCAGATATCGAGGGAGGCCGAACCAAAACAGTTCAATATAGACGTAAATACATTGCGAAAACGAATTAAATCTATGTAAAACGGAAAGTCGTAGGGTCCAGATGCCATTTCAACTGATATAATTAAACTCAGTGGAGAGACAACTTTATCTTATTTAATAAGATTATTTTATGTATCAATCAACAATTCAAGCGTACGATTGGAAGCTAGTTACCGTTGTTCCGATTTTTAAGAGTGGTGACAGAACTGTTTTATATAGGTCTTGTGGTGCGTTATCGTTGGCATTTTTCATGAAATAATTATAAAGTTGTCATTGCCAACAATAGTAATACCATTGTTGTAATACCATAGCAATACCAGTAATACCATAGCAATACTATTGTTGGCCATGACAACGTTTATAATTATTTCAGAACTGTTTTAGACAAATATAGACCGGTAAGTCTTACGTTAGTTGTGTGTAAGCTAATGAAACATTTGATAACTAGCTTTATTAGACAAGAATTGGAGCAAAAAGAATAGCTATTTCAGGGACTGCATGGTTTTAGGAATGGTTTCTTTTGAGAGAGTCAGATAGTATCATTGTTTCAGGATATAGCATATAAAGTTGATGATAGAGAGAGGGTAGATGATGTAATAGCAGATTTGGCGAAGGCATTTGATGTCCCACACTGTGCACTGGCTCAGAAATTACTGCATTCGGGTACTGACACCAGAGTTGTAGATTCATGAACTTCTTCGAGATAGGAACCAGATAGTCCGAGTTGGACCACAATTTTCAACTCTACCAAACAAATACTCCTGGCTGTGTTATGTAAATTGTAGTGTTCTGCCACTAGGTTGCATGAACCTACCTGCAGGAATAATATTAATCTATGGATCTATTTATCGGTCTGTCTATTTAACTATATATATTTATTGGTATATTACCTATCTTCTCATTCTCCTCCTCTCCTTCTCTTTCTCTCTCTCCTTCCTCTCTCTCCTTCTCTCTCTACTCCTTTCTCTCTCTCCTTCTCTCTCTCCCTTCTCTCTTCCTTCTCTCTCTCCTGCTCTCTCTCCTTCTCTCTCTCCTGCCTCTCTCCTTCTCTCCTCCTTCTCTCTTCTCCTTCTCTTCTCCTCTCTCCTCCTTCTCTCTCTCCTTCTCTTCTCTCCTCTCTCTCTCCCCTTCTCTTCTCCTTCTCTCTCTCCCCTTCTCTCTCTCCTATCTCTCTCTCCTTCTACTCTTCCTCTCTCTCCCTATTCTCTCTCGCCTTCTCTTCTCTCCTTCTCTTCTCTCCTCTCTCTTCCTTCTCTCCCTTCTCTCTCTCCCTTCTCTCTCTCCTTCTCTCTCTCCTTCTCTCTCCTCCTCTCTCTCTCTCTCTCTCTCTCCTTCTCTCTCTCCTTCTCTCTCCTTCTCTCTTCCTCTCTCTCCTCTCCTCTCCTGTCTCTCTGTCCTTCTCTCTCCTTCTCTCTCTCTCCTTCTCTCTCTCTCCTCTTCTCTCGTGTCGAAGCCTATACTTTTCGTGCTTCGTTGTAGCGAAGGCATTGCGTGTCTGGTCACTGACCCCCAACAAGCCGGCCTCTTGTGAGGTGAGGAGCTCGCAGCGATCGACCTGGGAGCATTGCGTATACTCACGCAGCTTTGTTCTCCCCACAGCTCGCTCACCCCTCTGCTTGTTCTCGTGGCACGCGTGTTCGCACGGCTGCTTTCATGTCCTCCCTTCTCTTCCCACTCGGCTTCCCCTCCCCATTCCCCTGTCAAATATCACGAAGTTGGTTACTCGCTCTAGAACACATTATTTACAAAAGGTACGTTTTTGCGTCATTTTTCAGAAAATTGGATTTGAATGTTTCAATGAATTTTTCACTAATACAGGCTTAAATGAGAATAGTTTTTAGTCCATTTTATACATATTGACAGGTTTTTATGAATTATTTGGACATTTCCCAATTTAATTTTCTCTACTGTCTTAAAATAAAAAGAAAGATTGAAAATTCCCATCATGTTTTGTCATCATAACGATCAATTTCCATTTTACAAATGTCCATTAGAAATATGACTTTTTTTCTAATTATTGAAGTGATATGTATGATTTAAAAATCAAAATGTATGATTAGCGACTCATGTTAGCACGGAATCAACTTTGTTCTTTGTGCTTCAACTCTGTTTCTAAACTACACTTCCCATTCATTCTCAACTCGTGTTCTCTTGACGAAGTGGTTCGCGTAAATCCACTCCAGTTTTTTTCTGATTTACTTTCGATTTTTTTCAGAAATTCACATACAATTTTTCACTGATTGTTTCCCTCTCTGCCTTTTTCCCTGCATCTCTTCCTCTTTATCTCTCTTTTTTCTTTGCTTTAATTTTTTCTTTGCCACTCCGTTGCTCACAAAATTTCTCTCCTTCACTTGAGCTCTGACAATTTTATCTTGTTTCGTTTCCTACCCGCATTCTTGTAGACTTCTATAGGGATCAAAGGCACCTGTTTGCTCTTGTTGAGTTTAAAGATGGGAATTTTTCATTGTGCTGCGGGAGACTAACGTTACCCCCCTGAGAAATTAAAGGAAACCTGCCGTTGTTCGACATTTAAAGGGTAATTTTGTTCAAAATAAATGAACATAAGTTGATATTGACAAATATTTTTACTATGTTGAATGCAATATTTTTCTTTCATGTCTTTGTGTGTGCATGTGTCTTTTCTTTTTCACTCACTTACTTGAACGAGAGAAGACTATCCAACGTACAAGGAACCCTCCCGTGTGTATTCGTTACAATTTGCACGTTATTATGCAAATATGAGCTCTTTTCGTCAGGTTACTAAATTAACTAATCAAGCAGTCTGCTCGTGTATTAGAAACACTTTTATTAAACAAGTTCTACATAACTGCAAATTATTCACTATTTTAAAGATACTTTCTTCAGTTTCTTTTATTTTCACCAAAACGCTGTTTTTATTACATTTTTGACCGTATTTTCATAGTTAATACTCGCTACAAGAAATTCATTTCATTTTATAGTGTTTCTAATATTTGACATGAAGGAAACATAAAAATTTATTGGTGGTTTCAGTACATGTAGTGTGTATTACTTTTCTTCCCTACACTCTCACCTACAATTCACTACACACACGTATACACTTGCTACGAATGTATACAAATTTTCTATTTAAATAAAAATCATTGAAACATACCCGAAGACATTTCAAACTGTTTGGGAAGAAGTTTCCCTTTCCTGACTGGTTACAGCAACATAAATTCTACAAAAACGTACAAATTTGATTTCGTTATTTAAATTAAAATTCATTAACTGATAGTACTTAACTGTAGTCGCTTACTGCAACATTTTAAACAAAACCAATATTTTCTTAGTTCATTTTACTTAATATTAGATATTATTTTCGACACAAAAGCAACTTTTAACATTTTTGACCTTGCTTACATTTTCCAAATATTGTTTCCGCAACTTCATTTTCGTGAAGTCAAATTCAACATTTGCGTCATAAAATTCAAACTATGACGGAGTAAAATGTTGATCAGAAGCCCCTGTGGACTGCAACCTGCCTAACGCGAGTGTGTTGCATTAATCTCGTCAGGGGCTTCAACGAGCAAATTCCTACAGAATGTTCTACGTGATGATTACATCAGGACACTCTTGTAAACGTAGCAATTATTAGTTATATTCTTTAGTTACGTACATTTTTATTGTTCAATTATACTAATAAATCTATCAATATCTACAAATAAAAGTAACAAAATAGTGTTAGAACAGCTCCAAATGCGACTTTTGGGTGTGCATTTGAAATAAAATAACACATCTCAGTTTTAGCTGGAATGTTAAGTTCCTATCTATGACTTTTTCACTTCTTTCCAGATCGCTAAGCAACAATCAGCTCACGTCGGTGCTGAAGGATGCTTTTCCTGTTCTGCCAAACCTCACGAAGCTGTAAGTTTTTACATTTTTCTCAAACATTACTTACATATTTTTAAGAGCTCACTGCCAAATAATATTATGCGTGATAACACTGATGGACTAACTATAACAAATATAGTTTAAAATTTTATTTTCCAGTATACGTACATATTTACGGAGTAATAAACGTAATATAAGAAAAGTTTTGTAATGCTGCGGAAAAACGAAATCCAAATTTCACGTTTTGGGGTCCCCTGATACCGAAAGAGTGGTTTTATTCAAAACGTCTGTCCGTCCGTCCGTCCGTCCGTCCATCTGTAGGTCTTTGAACCAAACGTATTCACGTATGGTTTAGTCACTATTTATAATTAAAAGGCCTCGGTTCCCCTACTCCGAGCACTCTTTACCGCCTCCTTCGGTGTTCGTTGTCGACGTTCTTGGACTAACTAGGATATTCCCTTCCCTTTGGCTCTTTGAAATCGGGTCGCCAGCCTTCAATCACACGCTTCTCCCGCGCTCGTGCTGCATCTGCGACGTGCCTAATTCGCCCAAGGGAGCGTCCCAATCTCGAGCTGTCACTTGATCCTCTGGTTGCTGAATGCACTATTGGCTGAGGTCGCTGAGGACAACAACTATTGTACACGTAAGCTTCCGCGGCTCGAGTTCATTACTTCTATGCTGTCCTGGTGACGCCGCGTCGTTGTCAGAGAAGCCGACGTTTCGCCTGCCATGTCGCAGGCTTCTTCAGGGAAATTCTTGTATATTCTTCCACCAATTCCTGACTGCGCGGGGTCTGTTCAACACCGTCCGATCTCTAGGATGGCTGGTGCGAGGCCCGGGTTGCCCCAAACCGCGAGCCAATGAGAGGGACCTCTCCGCCAATCACGGTGCACTTGCGTCACTCGACCCCCTAGGCTGAAAAAGATATAACACCGGAGGCGGAGCTTTACTGTGTCTCTACCCTGAAGAAGCCTGCGACATGACAGGCGAAACGTCGGCCTATCTGCCAGCGACGCGGCATCACCAGGACAGCATAGAAGTAATAACATGACGGAATGTCTTATGCGATGTCCGCCAATTTCCTCCGTTTGTCCTAATTAAGTTTTGTTCACAAAAGGCTGACATCCCAACCCTACTTTGCTACACTATGGGTAGAAGAATGTATTGTAAACTTCACAGCTTCTGACAGCCGCCAGAAGTAGAACCATTTAGAGTTTGCTGCTTCGACACATGATTTGTTTCTCCTTCTTTCTTTCTGTGTAGAAATGTACTCATCGAGAAAGCTATGGCTTCGTCTCTTTCTGAACATTTTGCCCCGTCTCATCCGGTGTGCGAAACGTCCTACCGACTTTTCCTCACAAGAGACGCAAACAGAATCTAATTGGTCACAGTTTGGTGGCAAAGGATATTCTTTTCTCACACGCCATGCTTCCACTTTCTGCGTCGTTGAAATGTCTGAATTATATGTTTATGTGTTGATCGACTCAATCATGACGTGTGTTAGATTACAGTATCAATGAAGAAACGAAATACCATTGTAAATTACGCTCTCGATATCAATGGCTAAATATATGCCTCCCGTTACTAATTTGTGACGTAAAACAGGCAGCGAATCGAAGCATCCTCATTATATTACATTATTAAATGCATGAAAATGGTGCTCGTAGAGAACATGTGATAGCCGTCCACGCTGTTGCGCTTATGTCATTCTTCTCCTTTCTGCACTGTCGATCACACTGGGCTCTTAACCATACCTCCGTCCCTAACTCCTTCAGCCACTAGAGCTCTTCATCCAACGAAAAATGGTCGACCACCGCTCGATTATCATATCTGGCGAGTGTCCTTCACAATGTACCAGCTAGCTGTGTTTGCAATTGACGCGTCTGCTGTCAAAGCATTAGTTTAAATGGAGGTATTCACACCAGCGGCGTACTCGTGCTGCTTGGTGGCGATCTCCCAGCAACGGCGCAGTGTTCGCCGATAGAAGTGGTAGCTTCCACATAGCGCTCTTCATCTTCAAGTTCATAACACAGCCACTTTGCTAGTGCTAACAGTGGTGGGGGCAGTGAAATGACAAACGAATACCGATTTAGTTTATTTACGAAGCGCTAAATACGATGGACAATAATTGTGATCATTTAGTGATTTAACGTTCTCGTAATTTTATATTATTTAATTATAAATATTTTTTGGGGGCCATCTTTGCCAAGTCAGACCATTGAATAACTTCAAGGCTGTATTTCCAAGGGTTGAGAGATCAAAGACAATGTATTATATGTATTACAAAACAATGTATTATATCTCCAAAATATTGCAGATAAAAACTAGTAGTAGTACAGAGTGGAGATCTTTCAAAAAAATTATATTTGTGTAATTTAAAAAAGTCAAACTGAATTTAATGTCATATTAAATACTGCAATTAGCACTATCCCTCTGTGAAGAAAATTAGTACCAACCAACTTGTTATTGAGAAAGTGGCGTTTGAGCGTTTCTAAAACTGCGAAATTTTGAGCTGCTTTTGATTTCTGAACGGCAAAGAAGAATATTTAGTAACGTTACAAAGAGAAAAGAATATCGATATATTAATGATCTTAAAAACTAAAAAGAAATTGAACAATGAATATAGGTGAATATACAATAATATACAGTAGAGTCTCACACGTATAACATGCATCATCAGGTGTAGCTATAACTCTAAATCAGAAATGGGCCAAAATAATACAATCTTATAACTGGATCTCTAATCGAATTGTAACTGTGCGGTGTAAGGTGGACAGAATTTATTCCCTTCATTTGGGTCAACGCACCAGAAGAGAGAAAGAAACAGGAAATCGAGGACTTTACTTCAAAAAGCTATATGTGAAATAAATAAGGATGACTACTTAATAATTGGAGGAAACCTAAAAGCCAGAATTGGAAAATTCTAAATGGATGATATGATTTGCAAATGTAATGAAGATCATGTGCTAAATTATAACATAACAGCTATGCGAAACTTTTCTTGCTTCAGTAACCTAAAAGTTATGAATACCTTCTTTCCACACAAAAGAATACATAAACTCACGTGGTGGCCATTTTGCATCGGTTGGAAAATTGAAACTCTACAAACGATGGTATAAAATGGAGACAAATTGGTTTCATCTGACAACAAGCAGTGGAAAGTCTATTTACTTCAAGAAGACTCCATAAAACTACTATACCAACAGTGACTATATGAAATAAATAAGAAAGTACCCTGTAATCCAATATGTCGAAGAAGAATGGAAACGTATAAAAACGTGGTAGAGACACCAGGAATGGAATAAATTGGTACTTCTACTCAAAGAATACGAAGTAAAATACTACGAATATGGAGTAATGGCATTGAAGGCGAAATGATCAAAAATGCCTAAAGAAATGGCTCTCACACTTTCTCAATCTATATTGGGAAAGAGTGCCGGAAGAGTGGACTTTAAGAAAGAAGATCGGTTGTCTTGTGAAAATTATGGAGGAATAAGTATTTTAAATGTTACATGCAAAATCTATTACAAAATAATCACATTCTGAGTATGTAATATTGCAGAAACAATGTTATTGGAAGAACAAAATTGATTCGGAAAGGGCAGGTCTTGCTCCAATAACATTTTTATTATCAAACAGATCATTGAGAAGAATAGAGAATTTAATAAAGGAACTCGTGCTCTTCGTATATCACATCAAAGAGTTTGACATTGTTAGTTTAAACGCACTGTTTAAAGTATCGCATCGTAAAGCTCTCCCACCGCAGCTGATTTCGGTCATGAAGAACAACTATAGTAACTCTGAAATTTGTATCAAGGGCCAAGAGAATAAGAAGGAGATAATAAGCCAAGGAGTAAGACAAGGATGTAGTCTATCCCCAATTCTTCTTAATTTATATTTAGATCAAGCATTAAATATGTCCACATCCAGACTAAAATCTAATAGTCATAACATGGGACAAGAAAGAAACCTAATGACCATATTATTCGCATATGACCAACTTATAATAGTAAATGATGCAAACAGCCTCAAGAAAGCACTGTTTAAATTACAGAAGGTAACTGAAATGTATAATATCTGAATATTCTCTACAAAAACAAAAGTCATGGCCTTTGAAGTGATGGAACCGTTGATCTAAATTAGTTGTATATAATTCACCTATAGAGCAAGTTCCAATTTTCAAATTCTTGGGCTACAACATTCATACAGAGGGGTAATAGATATATAGGGGAAAATTGAAAGAATAAATCGTATGAAAGGAACAATCCTGAGACCCCTGAAAAAGAAAGGACACTCTGACTAAATTCTATAAGGTGTATCCCAACATGTTAATATGGAAGTTAAAATTGGACAATGGTTAAAAAAAGATAGCACAAGACTACAAAGTGCTTAAATGAGATTTCTGAGATTAGTGGGTAGTTATAACATGATGCATAATAAAAAAGGAATTTAAAAATTCGTAAAGAACTTGGAGTATGTAACCTTCAAGAGAAAATCAAGTTTTACCGAAATTCTTGGACACATTGAAAGAATGCAAGACAAATGCCCGCCGAATAGAATTCTAGAAGCCTGCCGAGAAGAAGAAGAAGAAGAAGAAGA